GAAGATACTACATTGTGGTTTACTTTACTGGGATGTGTATGTGTTGTCAGGAATGTGTGCTGTAAGACTGAGCATATGTTTCTTGGGTTACATCACAGCATTTACATATCCAGTTACTTACTAAGCCATAATTATTTTTAATATTTCGATTAATAAATTGATGGTTGATTTTGATTGTTACCAGAACCCACATTGCTCACATGACTAAGAGTTCATAAGGTATAGTTTACAATGATTTAAAAGGGATCATCCCTATGTTCCCAGGGCCTTATGAACATCTGTATCTCTTGATATAAAAATAAAAAATAAAACATTGTACGAGATTGGAATGGGCTACGTTTTAAGTTTGCAAATAGCAAAATAACTTCGGGGAGATGGATGTTTCAAATGTAGTTTGAATGGTAAAACTCCATTTAGCCACTATTGAGATATCAATGTCTGAAGTCAAGAAAACTATCTTGCCAGCAAATTTTAGTGGGTAAGTTCCAAGAAGTATAACATCAGTAAGCTGCATCAACTGTACATGGGCGATCTCAACATTATGACCTAGGAAAATATTGAACATTTGAAAAAAAAACATTGCTGAGAACATAAAACCTTTGAAAAGTCTCCTCGTGTCATATTGAGCTGGTACGCAATAATATAAAGCATGGAAATACAGGACACTGGGAGCATGGAACCCTGGGAACATAGATACGGTCCCATTTAAAACATGGAACAACTGCAAATCCTTTTATATATATATTTTTTAGATGCTTTAATCAACAATGCTACATGGTTATCAATCATTACAGTAAGATCATAAATCAACCGGTGTGGCATTAATTCACCGCTGTAACAAAATCTGACCCACAACATACAAACATCGAAATACAAAAAACGGATAGTACACATCTGGTCCTTTCATAGATTAAATTGTTATCGTTCACTAATCGCTCATCTGCCAGGGTGGCATCTTTAAAAGCACTAAAAAGGACTTAGCACATAACAATGTAACTTTGACAAAAATATTCACTTACTTGTTACTATGTCACACAAGTCTCTGCAAATTACTTTTGTACACTGAAAATAATGGAAAACCAATGGCTGCCAGGAATGTCTCAAATCTAACTTGGTATACTTTGGAAAATGGTTGCCAGTAATTGTAATTCTGTGGCCAAAACATGGAAAGTAGTACACAGTTGCTGTAGAAGTTACTTTACATCGGTTTACATTGAGTCCAATCTGATAGCTCTGGTGACCACTTCTCAACCTCTGGCTGGTGGCACTGTGTGACTGAATAAAATCTCCGCCTCCACAGGTGTGGCAGGTGATCTGAGGGATGAGTGAGCTCTTCCTGGGGTAACAGTAGCCCCAGCCAGCTTCCCCTTTTGCTTTGCCCCAATGTGCCCTTTCCTGTCGTCTTATCTGGGCATCCAGTGCAATCTAACCCAGGGTGAGGTCCCTCTGCTCCTCCATTCCCCCCGCTGCCGGTCTCCATCTCTTCTCAGATGTCACTGTGAAGAGAGAATGACCCGCTTGAGTTAAACTTGAGTTAGGCTGACTGACAGAGTCCTGACACCCCATTGTAGGCACAACTGTCTCAGCTTCCTGCCACCCACAACTTCCCACCCTCTGACCTCCATGGCACCAAGGGCAACAGGAGCACAGACAATGTGGCAATACACGGCTGATTTATTTAGGATTTTGTTTATTATGATGAACACTGAGACAGTGGTGATTGATTTTCCAAACTCAACAGAGAAGTTATTCAAGTTTCCTTAAAATGTTGTAAAGACAAATGAGATTTGGTTGTTGCTTGGGCCAGAGGGACATGCTGATGTAGTTGAAGGGCTTTCTGATTAGCAGAGTGGAGATTTAATGTTGATCCTGTAGGGACAGAGACTTGTACTTCCTCCAACTGTCTGGGTTTAATTAAGCCGACCGGTCTACCAGCAGCGAGCCAACCAACCTCTTTAACATTATGACAGATTGTACAACTCAGAGCAAAAAACCTAGTTGCAACTCTAATCACTGAAGCTAAAATGTGCAGATAATGTCAAAAGTGTTCAGCACCATAGAACAGTATTATTTATCTGTTAACTCAATCACTAAATGGAATAATAAATTGACCCAAATTTGACGCTAATTTAGGCAGAAGAAACTAGTGTTATTTTCCTGCTTTAACACATTAGTCCTGAATAGGACTTGAATTATTCACAAATTGTCTATCATTTGCGTTCCTGACAAACACACTATAAACATGTTTCCACATGTACTCATTCCACAGCAAAGCTGCCAAACAGCAGTCAGGCGCTGCTGAAAGGAGACTTATCACAGCAGTCTATGATTTACCTTGACAAATAAATTGTTTTGTTTTGTTCTTATTAAAGGGAATCTGTGGGCTTAGCTGCCCTCATTTTAGTATATGGTATATTTAGTGTATCCTGTAAGTTTATATGCACGTTGTATTTCTGGACCTGGCTGACACTGGCAGTTTGCATACATTCACAAACACAAGAAGGTTTGTGGGGCAAAATCTAATTAAGCTCTGTGTGTGCGCGTGTGTGTGTGTGTGTGCTGGATGGACCTGAGCCCCGAGCTTTGAATGTGTGTCAACTTGCAAGCCTCAGCTTGGAGATGTAATCTGATTTGCAGAAAGGAATGGGTCGTTTCACATGACTGGTTTGAAGGACCACTGGCGCAAGGTTGTGCCAGTGTCCCTGACCGCTTTGTGTATGTGTGTGTGGGTGTGTGTAGGTGCTGGGTGTGGATGCTTGCTTGTGTGTACACACCTACATGTATTTATTTGTTTCACAAAGTACACTGCAGATACATGAGCGTTTGTTAGTGTAAGCTCCTGTACAGTAGAAATAGAAAGGTGTTGAAGTTTGCTATGTGGTTGAACAAACCAGTGTGCTGCATTTATTCCATTGTTCTTGGTTTTAAATAAGACTTACTTGGGAAAGTTTACATGAAAGTAAGGCCACTGCTAATTAACAGTCGATTACACATCTGGAAAAAAGTACAGCTCTGCTTCAGACTCTGCTGCTTGTTTTGTTTGCAACTTTCTGTTTACACATCTCTTATAATCAGAGCTTTATTTTGAACTAATGGACCATCAGAAATTATATCAAATAATTGAAATCATCCTATAGCCTCAGCCCTCTTAAGAGGACTGCTGGGATCAAATCCCCTGAAAGCTTTGCCTCTGAATCCTCACTGGTTTTTTTTAACATTATTTGTTGATGGGTTTTTTTTCGGGGTGGAGATTCTCGGTTGTTTTTTCAGAGCTGGATGTGGGCCATCATGTGATTTTCATTGGAGAGTGGCCGGAGGAGACGACCACAGTAAAAGCAAGTGAGCATGCATGAGCATGTGTTTGTGTGTCATCTGGCCTCTTTAAGAAATTGAAGGTTGTTTTCCATCTTAGGGTCATCAGTTGTGGTCATCACACGCACAAGTGGAAGAGAGGGGGCCCTAGGAGGTGACATTCGCAGCCATGCTTGTGCTTGTTGGTGTGTCTGTGTACATGCTTGCCTACACGTTAGCATGCACAGAACTTGTGAGTTATGTGTACACTCTCCCAGTGTTGATGTCTCTCTTGAGAGGTTCAAGTGTGTGTGCTTGTGTGTTTTCTCTCTTTAGTGGAGAGCTCATAAGCAGGATGATGCAGTGGGCAGGAAGCTCTGATCCCATCAGGCATGTCAGCAGGGGCAGTTTTTCATAAGTTAGTAATCTCACCACACAAAGAGGTGTCCAATATTAGAGAGAGCCCCTACCCCTGAGCTAATCAAGACCTGACCAACCCTTCCCCGGCTCGCCAACCCTCTAAACATTACCTCATCTGGAGGCTTAGCCTAGCCACATGCTGCTCCAGCCTGCTGGTGTACATGATAACTCACTTAGCTCAGTACGATAGCTAGAAAAAACGGAAATATAAGAAGGGATATAAAAGAAATAGGACCAGCACACAACTACCTATGGTGCCTCCTGCCAGGGAAAGGTATTTTAAAAGCGAGAGGAAAGAAAGAATCATTTTACCATGTCCTCCAGAAACTCTGGGAAGCAATTTGCCGGTATTCAATTTCTCTCCCTGCCGTCCTGTTATTGCTGTTTTCCCCTCAACTCTTGGAGCCTTCAACCTGAAAGGAGGTTCTTAAGTGCAGGCTTTGTGTCACTCGGAAACAGTGCAGTTGTTGCCAAGGTAACAGGTCTGGGACAGTGAAACTTAGAAGCAGAGAGCACCTTTGCCCATGAATGGATGAAGAGGGACCGGAGCTGTCATTGGTCCAGAGAGCATAGCTTCAGTCTTACATGTCTGCATCAAGAAACCTGTGATCAAGAAAAGTTTCTTGATCCAATATCTACCTGAACCTGTTAACCTTATAAAATAAAACCAGTCCACCATGGAATTTTAAATGGTACAATGGAAAAGCCACTTTGACTGCCTCCATTCTTCTGACCTGCCAGGCTGCAGAGCTCCACTGAAACCTTAGATTTACATAAAACAGAGTGGGATGATCTATGTTGCTACACCAGGTTTGACTTTTTAAATGTTCTGTGAAGATACTGGAGAAGGTCTGGCACACGTGGTCATTATAAAACCAACTTTGGTTGTCCAAGAGACTTAAAAATAATGCAACAAATTGAGAAAATTGTGAAACGACAAACTGGTCACTTTTTTGCATTTGTGCAGTTAATACACACTTCCTTTTCCTTACATCAAGTGGTTGATCCTCTCTAGCACCGGATCCCAGCTTTCTTGACTTGTATCCCATTAAACTGAAGCATGTGTTTATGTCGTCCATCATCACTCATTGGTCAATGAGGGATTTTCATCCAATGGGCTTCTTCAGTTGTCAGTCAGAGCTGAAGAAGCGAATGAACTATAACCTTGATGACTGAGAATCTTCACAGACATCTTACACAGGATTTGTCAGGTCATTGTCAACTCTTATGTCTACTCGTAAATGAGCTCCCCTCTGAATCATTTTATTTCCAACCTTTATCTTTTTCAGGTGATCTCAGGTGAGCACAGAGAAGAGGCTGAGTAATGGAAACATGATCTCAAGAGATTCAACAGGTAGGGATGACTCTGTTTTTTGTTTGATGTTCATTCAGTGGAATATGTAATCACACACGGCGAAGTATTATTATTATGAGCTGACAGTTGCTACAAACAACCAGAGTATGGTACATTCACTGATCAAACAGAAGAAGCGGTGGTCGTTCACGTGTATGTGAGACATGATCAGGGTGGTGGCACTGGCTTTATGCCCATGTTCTTGCTTTTTTGATTGTGTAACTCAAGTCATGACAGCACGGTAAAGAATGCAGTGGCACAGAGATATCACTTCAAACACAGAGTCTCTCAGGAGCCTCAGATCCTTTCAGTGGAACTGAATGAAGATATGCTTTGATGACCCACCACAGAGTCGGTGGCCTTCAAAGAAACCTGTTGATGGGCTTGTGCGGGGCAGCCAGCAGGCTGAATGAGTGGTACTGTATACGTGCGCCTCTCAGGGTAGCCGTGGGTGTTCTCATTGGAGGTCAAACATTCTTGACCCAAACTTTTTTTTCATAGATTTTAGGCTTTCATTATCTTTCTACTTCCACGTTTGCTGGGTAAGTGAAGGGGAACAGTGTGTGTGTGTGGATGGCAGGGTGCCAGCAGACAGGTACAGTAGATGTGCTGATGAGGGAGGGCGATAGGCAGCCCCAGGCACAGACAGGCATACCCGGGCAGGCTGAGACGCAAAGGCAGGTTGGGACGTGGTTCTGTATGCTGATGCTGCTCTACTGGCTCTGCTTTAGGTGAGGCATTGGAGAGAAACGTGGGAAGGGGAAAAAACAGAATAGAGGGCAAAAGGAGAGTTAGAGAAAATCAGGTAAAAGTATTATTGTTGAGTGGTGAAGCTGAAAAAAGCACAAAACTAAAAATGAAGGCAGATAATGACAGAGAGCATCAACAAAAATCAATGGAGTGGGTCTAGCTAGGGCCAGGAGAATCAAGCTGGAAAGGGATGATGATGTGTGAGGCTCCAGGGCAAGGAGAGAAAAGTAGAGGAGGAAGAAGATGAAGAAATAAGTGCAAGAGTGAGGCCACATCCTGTTCGCTGGGCGAACGTGACTACTTGCAGGTAAACCAGCTCAGAGGTTGAGACAGGCAGAAAGAAGATGAGAAACACTGATGGACGACTGCCTATCCTCTGACACGTTGTTCCTTCCCCAGCCAAAAAACAGGCTGGACAGGTCGGTCCAGCAACTCTGCTGGCGTCCTTATGTGGGAGGTTGTATGCACAAGCACAGGTAGATCAGAGTAGAGGATTTCAAGAGGCAACCTACCTGCATTACCTCACCTTTATGTTCTAATCTGAAGAAAAAAAAAACAAGCAGATGTGAACACTGCTCTCATAAGACAACAACACCATCCAGCTGTTGTTCCCAATAGAAAACCCCCCGCCACTCAAGCGACACTAGGGTGACATGTTAATTATAAACAGTATTGGACTAAAAGGAGCTGCAGCTGTACCACGAGAAGGCCTGATTCGCTTCCACACTGCTGGAAGTAAAACACACAGCCTGGATTTTGCCACCACTCATAATATGATAATTTCAGCTGTGGATGAGGCTCTGGGTGGTTCCTCTGCAACTTCTTTATGCCAGTTTGAATCCTCAGCCCTTCTTGTGCGGAAAGTTTGTGAAAGCAGCCAAATCCTATCTGCTAAAGGAAAGTTTGTGTTGATCTCTGGTTATTTGAAGTAGCATCACTGAGCAGTTGCTTTTAACATTTAAAAAAAAGAAATGTTGCCAGAAAAGATTATCTACCTCTAATTTTCTATAGAAACATGTGTGAATGTTCAAGCTCCAAGTAGTTTTTGGCCTCAGTCAATCATTAGTTTCTGTATTATGTTTCTAGGATCATACTAAATCCCCGCTTGGACTGTGGACCAGCATCCCCTGCAGCAGATGTTTGCTCCTGGCATGACAGTATGAGCTCCATCACTGACAAACTCGCTCTCAGGATCCAGTGCCAGCAGCATGGACTTGGAGAAGCTGTGACATAAACTCAGCAGGACAGTGGAGTGTAATCTGCAGCTCAGACATTATGGAACAGATCAGTCAACCCTGTCTGGAGAGGTCCTCGGTAGGAAAGTCGGCTCAATGAATGTACACTTACCGGAGTTACCACAATGGATCTACACATTGTTTGACTTTTTCTTAAGTGAACCCCGATTAATATTTTCCCATATATGCATCTGCATTTGATATTCATTGTTTATTTGCGCCATTGCTCATACACTGCAGTTGTGACATATACAGTTTTTATTCTGGACACAGTATCAACGAGCTGGAAATGGAAAATGAAAGATTTGATGTTATTTTCATTTTTAGTCCTGTTTTTAGAGACTAAGGCAGCGCTAACACCAGTGCAGTCCCATATAAGTTTATCTGGTGGAGGGCACACCTAATGTTTCCTATTGTGTAAATGAATTTATACACATGTGATCAATATTCCTCAGATGGATCACTCAGTCACTGGAAATGTCATGTTTTCATTTGACATCTTGAATCTGTGATCACAAAGAGGCCATTGTAATCAAGGTGCTGATGAATGCAATCCAAAAACTTTTCTATTGACAATGCATATCCTTGTGACACATTGGCAGCCTGTGTTAATAATGGTTAATGACCCTGACAAGCTGTTTATTCTAATGATGATTTATAGCTCCTCATCCTTTGTTGTGTGTGTGAAACCCTCTTAGCAGAAATTAAAAAAGTATATCCAGGCTGCTGTTTGTTTTGTCATTTCTGTTTCAGATCTTTGGGATACATAACTGACAAGATGCTTTCATGATGTTCGTTATGTGTCTGTATGTGTGCCAGTATGTGCCCGGTCTGCTGTTAGGGGGACTATCACGAGTTGTATCACTTTTCTTTAAGTTTAAAGTGGAAATGGAAAAGAATATGACATTAAATTAAAATAAACTGAAAGCTTTTGGACATCACAGGGTTTTACTTCACTAATGCGAATCACTAATGTGAATAATAGGTACATTTTGAAGTGATATAAAAATATATTTTATTGCCAGGCCTTTTCTAGAAGTAGCAAGAGTTTTCCTGAAAAAGATGACATCATGGAAAATGTGTGAGTTTAGTTCCTGTAAATCTTGTATGTATGATGTCGGCACAGCATGATGCTTAATGTCAAAGTCTTGGTCATTATTTATCAGACTGCAGGGAGTTTTCACTATTTTGTAGATCAAAATCCCCACAGCTCTTCAGCCTCTGCAGAAAGATATTCCACTGTAAACAATAAATGCATTTATTATTTCCTATTAATATAAGTGAGTTCAACAATTCAGCAGTGACTTCCCATTTAGTTGTCTTTCACTGTCAATTTCAGCTGTGATTCAATAAGGGTTTGCTCGGGAGGGGGAGGGGTAGCAGAGTTGCTAAGGGGGTAATTATTCCTCAAGGGGTTGCTTATTGTTTTCTTTCTCTCTGCAATAAAACAAAGTAGGCCGGGTTAGGCTCCATTGCAGTGCGCTCTGGCTTTTATCTGGCACTTAACAATGTTCTGGCATGTTGTTCAAAGCATCATAGGGATAATATTAAGAATCAAATTTGTGGGGGACAAGGTCATCGCCATCTGAAAAAGAAAAGGGTGTGTGAAGACCCTGGCACTGACGTTTTGGAAGTTGAGCTTCATGACATCTTTATGGCCGTGCTTATGGTCAACAAAATTAGCATGTCCACAATGGACTTCCCTGCTTGCCCCCCCCCCAACACATTTTTTTCTCCCCCGTTTTTTTTCACACACATACACAGCTCAGGGGAAAAATGACCTCTCTGCAGCTCTCAATTCACTGCACTTCTATAGCCCTGAATGGACCGGCTCAACAAAAGGTGACATAATTTTCTCAGGGTTTGATTGGCCCCCTCCATGCCACAGTAGGTGACATCATGCACCCCCCGCCCCAACACATCACAACCAGCACACAACTAACCCTTCCCTCCATGGTCTTGGATGCTGGGTTGCCAAGACAACCGAGCTAGGCCCAGGCTGTGGGGCAGGACTTGGCAGTATATTGTGGCTTGGCTGGCCATAATGAGCTCAGCCAGCATTGCTCTTGTGTTTGCGGTAAACAGTCTTGGGAAATGATAGAAGGAGACGGGAAGAAGGGGAGGGATGAGAAACAGCATCTTGAATATAATGGCGGCTTCCCTCTTCATTCCACCTCTCATCTATAGGAGAGATGATGTAACTTTCTGCAAAGGAAAGTATTCCGGCAAGAAGTGTCAAGCCACAAACTTTTAATGTCAAGCATGAGCATTGTCGGCCGCTGAGCTCTGATTTGAAGCTCTGCCAAGTTTTGGTGCAAGTTTCATTGTGTCTCACTTTCTCTCTCATGAGGTTCAAGGAGGGAGTGTGTGGGTGTTTGCTGGATGGAAGAGAGAAGCCGTGATTCATTTTCTTTAATTAATGAAGACATTGTTGCAGTGAAAAGGATTCATGCCATTCAGTTTATCCACTCATTGTATTATTTTAAAAAAATTAAATTTAAATATAAGAAACCAAATAAAGACATGGATGGCATGTTTTGCAGATAAGCTCTTTTTTCCTCTTTTCCTTTGTACTCACGATTTGGAAAAGTATAATTGGGTTGTTCCTCCACTCATCTGTCTATGACATCAAGTAACAAATCCTGTTTTTTTTCAGTATCACAGCCAGAAGAACTGCTATTGGCTGCCTCGCTCAGCTCAGTACAACCTGTGACCCCGACTAATAAATGCCACTTTTCGTGCTGGTGTACATCCAGGACTATTACGGGCCCTCTACACCAGAGTATCACACACATACAAATGGCCGTTTCCCCTTGGAATTGTCGTTAATGAGGATAATTTGAAGTGAGGTTGACATGCAGCCCAGAGCCAAACCTTGTTGGTTCCAAACACTCCTGCAGCATAGACGCCTTTAAGCACACTCCAAACCATTTCCTCAAATTGGAGCTGCATCTGAAGAAAAAAATGACACAATTACTACTTGGTCTTGGAAAACGTCCACATTTCATGTTGAGCATGACATATTGCATAAAAGACTCACGTATGACACATTGTAGTGCTGGTACATACTGGTATTAATGGAAAAAATAAGATGCCATGCAGCTTTCTGTCTTTATCTTGTCAATCAAGCCAAGTCTCTTACCTGCCTCTTTACAGTTTTCATGCTTTCATGCTTTCTTGCTGTTGCTTTTGTAGTGTGATGCAATTAACTGCAGTGTGCCGGGTTGGCCCCGCCTTGGACTTCTTTGGAAGAAAGCATAGCTTTAGCGGGTTTTTGAGCTTGGATGAGCACTGACTGGGTATTGGTTACCTCTGGCATGCTAGGGGTGCGTGGGTTCTCAGTGACCATGACGTCGATCCTCAACTCTGCTTGCACAGGAGAAATGGTGGGAATCTACTACTTTCCCTTTTCTCTGTATTTTCCACAATTGTTCTTTATAGAAGTAACCTATTTTCCAACAGGTTTTCACATTCTAATGTGTCATGGGATTCACCTTGAGTGTATTATTACCACATTTACCCAAGTAAGAACTTTATCAATACATCAATAGCAAATTGATAGTGACATTTTGGTTATGTACTTCCCAAAAATCATAAAAAACATAGCATTGTTTCTAGTTTATTCATAGCGACAGCCTTGATTGGCAAGGTGACATAGACGAGGCAGTTGCATGGGAAACAATCCCTTAGTCTGGCAAAGCACCCTCTCTCACCCTCTCCATCCCTCGCCTCTCTCTCTCGCTCTTAATCCCCATTGAGAAGGGGAAGGGGGAGACTTGGGAAGCAGGAGATGATGATGAGGAGGTGGAGGGAGCAACAGAACAGGCCAAAGGCTCCACTGACATCCATGGGAATCTGCAGATCCATTCAGTGGTAATTATTAGCATCAATGCAGAGAGGCAGTGACAAGGCGAGGGGCGGGGGCAACGGGGTGTGGGAGAGTTTTGGAGGTGGGGTTGGGCGGGATGGAGGGGGGGTTGGTGGTGTTGGTGGGGGTGGTGTTTGTAATGAGAGTGAGAGGGAGAGAGGTGGAGAGTGATGCTGGTTTGCTTTCAATTACGGCAAAGATGATGTGAGCTTGACCTTATGAGCAAGCACATTTTGATTCAGAGCAGCATTTCCCTTTCCTTTATGTCTGGTCTCTGGAGAAGTGATTACAAGAAAAGAAATATTTATAGACAGGGGAACTATACAGGACCTCATCAAATGTGAAGCCAGTGATCATGAACATTTGATATCTGATTAAGTCATTTGCCATTTAGTTTTTATGTTTTAGGTCACACATGACTGGGTCGATACCTTTACAGGCAAGATCGCTTCCTCACACTTTACTTTTAATTAATTTATAGCATTGTTGTTCAATTATTTGCCTACTAATGGCACATTCTTCATGCAAGTGTGTCACAATTTTTCATACGTATGTGTGAGACAGTAAAAGAATTCATGTGCCTGTGTGCTTCCTGCCTGTCTGCCTGGAATGAAGGGGTATGGTAGACATTCTCAAGTCCAGGATGCCAGCCCTCTGTCCCCTTTACATCATACATCACACTGACAGGCCATTTCACTCCTGGATTCAGAATTCCAGCTTAGAGACCACCTCAAACACTTTGGGTTGTCCCCGCTTGGTGAGAACGTCACTCCCAGCCCGCTGAACACCACTTTTGAACTTTTGCCGACTGGCCGCAGAGTCAAGTCTGTCCAACATGGGGAAATTATGACAAACAATTTTTATTTTCTCCCCTTTTTTTCTCTCTTGAAAATCTGAAAATTTTCCAGCAGAGGGTGATTCAGCAAAGCAGCTTTAGTGGCTTGACCTTTACTGATGGCAAAGAGGAAGGATCAGATTTAAATGGAAGACACAAACATTTTTAGAGGTACTTTTTCCCCAACAGTGTTTCTCATTTCTTCTCTCTGTGAAAGAGAGTTAAAGTCAAAGGTCAGGTCAATACTTGTCCACTTCGTTAGAAGGTCTAGTCACAGTTTGGAGTTTACCTTGGGAAACACAGTCAGATGGAGATGTCTCATTATGCCTCTGGTGAATTTAGACAGAGGGTGTCAACCTGTCAACTGCAGGGATGAAATGTCTTCATGCGAAACTGTCAGAAAGAAATGTTTCAATTAGTATTAGATTGGTGCATTACAGGCTCTGAAAAAAATATTATATGCTAACACATACTGAAACTTCAAATGATGCATATGTTTGAAAATAAAACATCAGAATCTGTATTTTTTTAAGTTGATCATTGGAACAATTGCCATAAAAAGCAGATATGAAAAACATATGCTGACATGACATGCCCAGAAGCAACATTCTTTTATGGTATCTAAAATGCTGCCTGTTTCACGTGTTTTCCTCAAAAGTGTTTCACGCTTCCTGCATATGCTGAGACATTTTGCTTGCCCTAATGTATTGTTTTTTATAAATGTAACATGTTTGTCTCTGGGAAGTCACTGCTGCCTCATTGAACAATGCTTCCCTTTTATTTACTACCACTGAAAAAGCAGGTAAAGTGCACTGCTCATTTTGGGAAACCACCCCTTGCAACAGTTGCTGCAGCAACAGCAGCAGCATGATCTTTGATGATATTTCCCCAAGGGTCCTATTGGTTTTATTTTTCTTTTGTATGAGAGTTGTACAGTGAGACTGCACTCCATATCTGTCTTGGCTGCTGTCTTTGCTGCATCCCACACTGCAGGAATCCTCTGGTCAGAGAAAGGAGTG